CTACTATTTTGTGGTGGTAGCAAGAGTTGGGGTAGGAAAGAATTCAAGTCAACAAAGATTCATTGAGCACCTACTTTCCCAGCAAGACATTTTTATTACCTGAAGCTAGTCTCTTCCATTGTCCCTCAAGCTCACTCTGCTCAGTCCTACCACAGAACCATCGTGTGTTTTGTTTTCCCTGAACAATCACTATGATTTAGATTGTCCTTGCCTCTCTTCTGGGCCTATTCACAGCCTATCTGTCTTTCAGTGTTCAGTTTAAGCCCTATCTCCTCCAGGAAGCCTCCCCCAACCTCTTCAGGCACAACGCACTCTCTGTCTCTGAACACCAATGCTCTGCTATATATTTTACACTTCATTGTCCACTGACTTATACTGTCAGTTGCCTCATCACCAGCTCTTATCTCTCTCCTGTGCTCCATAACCATACTGCCAACTACTTGCTAGAAATCTTCAGACCTATGACTCGGTGCACCTCTGCTCAAGTACAAAACAGTTCATCATCTTCAGTACCAATCACCCCCCCAACACAGACACACAGAGAGACATGCACACTCAACCTCTGCCTCCTCCTATCTTCTCTATTAACAGAGTTCAGCACACATCAAACATTTCCTATGTCTAAAGCACCATGTTAGGCATATGGAGACAAGACAGTATACAAAGATGAATAAGTCCCCTTGACTTCCCTGTCAAGATGAGTTATATTCCTCTCTTCTCTTCCCACCTCCCCATAGCATCCTGTATTTAGCTCTATCACTAAACTTATCATATTGTATTCTAATGATGTCTTTCTACAATGGAGTATGAACACCCTGAAGGCAAAAGCGATGTCTTATGCTTCTCCACCACACCAGTGTCCAAGACAGAGACTGACGCCCTCATTAAGAGAAATCAACCTTTGTGGGCTGGCTAGGTGCATGACACTGCATGCCATTAAGGAGCTCACCATCAAGCTGGACCTCTAGACTTGGTATTGTTCTCATCTGTTCCCTTATCCTCAAAACTAATCATCAGCAAGTTTTTAAAATTTCATTTCAACAGTATATACTGCATCCATCCACTTCTCTTCCTCCCCACTATCCCCACAGCAGTCCATACCACTATCTGGATTGCCTGGACCTTAGCAGTAGCCTCTGCTAGTTTCTCTACACCCTTGCTGGTTATTCCCACCACTTCCCTGAAATCCATCCCCCACGTTACCTCCAGAAAGATCTCCCTAAACCATGTTATCCCTTGCCTAAAACTTGACATTGACACCACCTCTTAATGTAGTTCCAGCTCAAGATCCCATTCCTTATCGTCATGCATCTGATTCTCAACCCAAATTACCCCACCATCCACTCTTACTTCCATGCTTGAACTTAAAAATTCCCTCTAATCTTCTTCTCCCATTCAGAAGCTTCTTCTGTCCTTCAAGACCCAATTCAAGTGCTTCCCCACTCCTTATGTTATTGTTAATCAAATTGTTTCTTCACTGTTCCTACAGCATCTTACTCAGTCCTTTGTCTGTGTTACTTACTCTGTCCTGGACTGTAACAGTTAGTTGTGCACAAACCTGTGTTGATTACTAGACTGTAAGGTGCTAGAGGACGGCGTCTATGAGGTATAGATTGTTATAGACCCCCTGAGTGCCTAGGAGGTACTCAGTGAACAAGCTGAACAGAATTGAATTACCTATCCCGTAATATTCATTCATTTTACAAATATTTACTGAGTATAAACAAAATGGTCTCTGCCCTTGTGGTATTTACATTTCTAATGGTAAAATATCAACAGTAAATGAAATAAATAAGTAATGTGTATTATGTTAGATGGGGAAAAATAATAAGCAAAAAAATTTAAGCAGGGAAGGGGGATAGAGGGAGTGGGTATAGGGTTAAATTTTCTCCTGGGCGACCAGGAAAGGCCCTCCTGTGAAGTGGACAAGTGAGTGGACCTGAAGGAGGTGAGGAAGCCAGCCGTGCTGACAGCTGAAGAGTGTTCCAGACAGGGGGACACCAAGTGAGGCAGGAGCCTGTCTGGCACAGGCAGCCAAGAGACCAGTGTGGCTAAAGTGGAATGAGTGAGGGGAAGAGAGATGAGAGAGGAGGCCAGAAGGGCAATGGAAGGCCAGATCCTGGAGGGCCTTGGAGGCTATTGTGATGACCTTGGCCTTTTCTTTTTTTGAGATGGGGAGCCATGACACAAGTTACATTATTATTATTATTATTATTATTATTATTATTATTATTATTTTGAGACAGAGTCTCGCTCTGTCACCCAGGCTGGAGTGCAGTAGCACAATCTCAGCTCACTGCAACCTCCGCCTCCTGGGTTCAAACTATTCTCCTGTCTCAGCCTCCCAAGTAGCTAGGACTATAGGCATGCGCCACCATGCCCAGCTAATTTTTGTATTTTTAGTAGAGATGGGGTTTCTCCATGTTGCTCAGGCTGATCGTGAATTCCTAACCTCAAGTGATCTGCCCGCCTCAGCCTCCCAAAGTGCTGGGACGACAGGCATGAGCCACTGTGCCCGGCCCCAAGTTACATTTTGAAAGAATCACTCTGGGTACTGAGTTTAGACTGGATTACAGGAGTGACAAAAACAGGGGCAGAGATGCCAATTAGGAAGCTGCTGTCATAAGCTAAATGAGAGAGGTTGTTCCGTACACTACTAGTTCCAGGCCTTCCCTGACTAGCACTCATTTCCTGGCCCAAGCAACTCAGACCTGTCCTTGACAGTTGGGTTAGATGCTTCTAAGGGTTACCTAAGTGCTCAAATCAGAGCTGGATCTTGCCACATGAATCCTAAGCTGAGTTCTAAACCAGAGAGAATATAGGAGAAATTTTAAAAAGAAGAGCCCTAAGACCAGGACAAATAACCTGGGGCAGTCTATAAGGGAGTGGCCGGACTGCTACAAGCAATCACAGTGAGGGACATTATAAGGAGAGTCGTCAAATTGAGGGTGTGCTGTTCACTTCCCAGGTCCCCTCAGCAGTGCTTGGGATTCCTGGACAAAATTACTGCTCCTTTCAGTTTTGCAGATAAAGACACTGTATCAGGGAACAATGTTAGAGTGAATCTGGAAAATCTTTCAGGGATCCTCTCAACAAAATTAAATCAATTGAAAGATGTAGTGAGAGGTAAAAATCGTCTGTGAATATCATCAAAACCAAGGAAATTCCAGGCAAAGCCTGTGGAAATACTCCAGGGCTCAACAGAATCTTCTTGATTCCCAGTAATTAAAAATGCTAAGAAGTCTCCATATAGGTATATAATTGCAAGTCTGCTAGTAAACATGTTCCATTAAAGGAGATACCCCTTTTAACACAACACAGAACACAGAAAAGTGTGCAAATTAATTTTATCTTAAACACTTTAGGAAAAAGCTCCTAACTCTGGTTATCTGGGGGAGGGTGCAAAGAGAAGAGGAATTTTCATTATCTACATTATACAGCTGACCCTTGAACAACATGGGTTCAAACTTTGCAGGCCCATCCTATTTATACATGAAGGCAATGAAGATGAAGACCTTTATGATGATCTACTTTCACCTAACTAATAGTAAATGTATTTTCTCTTCTTTATGATTTTCTTAATAACATTTTCTTTTCCCTAGCTTACTTTATTATAAGAACACAGTATATAATACATATAACATACAATCAGTAAGGCTTCCAATCAACAGTAGGCTATTAGAAGTTAAGTTTTGGAGGAGTCAAAAGTTATACATGGATTTTCAACTGCATGGGGGCTCAGTGCCCTTAATTCCCATGTTGTTCAAGAGTCAACTGTATATTTCCACAACGTTTCGTTTTACTTACAATGAGCCTATAATTTTATTAATTAATTAATAGTATCAATTTTGAGGCATTGAAAAAGCAATAAGATATCTACAAAAGAAATGATGCACTGAGGAGCTAACCACTCAAAAGAGCCCTTGTGTAAATATTTTTGAAAAGTAAAGAGATGTAGTAATGTGAATAACTAAATGCTGTTTTATGTGTATTGTGACATATTTTTATGTATAAGGGTTTGCTGGGTTTTTTGCAATATCAGCGGAGCCTATCTTCTTAAACAATATAGGGCAAGTGAATTATCAAAAGAACTCTAAGGAAAACTACTGAAGAGTGGCCAGGCTCAGTGGCTCATGTCTGTAATCCCAGCACCCTGGGAGGCAGACACAGGAAGATCACTTGAGCCCAGGAGCTCAAGACCAGCCTGGGCAACACAGGGAGATCCTGTCCACAAAAAGTTTAAACATTAACTGGGTGTGGTGGCGTGCACCTGTAGTCCCAAATACTTGGGAGGCTGAGGCAAGAAGATCACTTGAGCCCAGGAGGTTCAGGCTGCAGTGAGCTGTGATAGCCACTGCACTGTGCCTGGGTAACAGAGCGAGACCCGGTCTAAAAAAAAATAAAAAGAGAGAAAGAGAGAGAAGAAAAGACCACTGAAGAGCAATTCGATGTCATTCTCTGGCTATTGTTACCAAACAAAGGTAAACAGTTAGCAGTATGCAGTGAGTTAAGGGCAATCTTGTTCAGAATCAAAGTGGCCAGCTTCCTGCAGCCCTATCATTATCATCTCTCATGTCTGAGGCATTTAGTCTTAGGTCTGCTTACAGGGCTTAGGGCTAAAAAAAGGAAGTTAGCACATGGCCTCTCTTATTATTGGATTCTGCCATGGTAAGTTTTAGAGTAGTGAGAAGGACTATGTACTATATAACATGGGCTAGAATTAGTAGACATAAAGGGATACAGTTAGGGTGGACCAGTTGTCTGAGCTTTGAATTCCTTTGCTTTTTTTATTTTTCTGCTGCCTTAATGTAATCTAAATACAATTTGTTTCAAAATATCTAATCACAGATTTTTCCCAGTTCTGTTCTACTCTTATTTTTGGCATACACATACAAGTATAAACAGTTTCTGTTAACCAATTAAAACTACACAATTTTCAGTAAGAATACCAAGAAAGAACAAGAGTCACAATCAAAAAGGCTTTTAAAAACTTCACTTACCACTGGATTTAATTTCACGGACATAATTACTGGGAAACCAGCCTGTTCTCCCATTTAATGTGCCTTCCCACCAGCCTCCTTCTTCAACTCGAGTGACGTAAATGATGTCCCCCTTACAAACTGACAGTTCATCCTCATTAGTCTGCTTAAAGTTGAATCTTGCTTTTACTATTAACTGATGACTTCCATTTTCCGTCATCTCCTAGAGAAACAAAAGCCACACCAGATTAAGCACTCATCTAAATAAGGCAGGGGTAGAAATGATATGGATTTAGGCAAATAAAGTGGAGGAAGCAAAGACAAAACCCCAAATCTATCTCAGTCCTGAGTTTTTAACTTAGGAGTCCATGAATGGGTCTCAGAGGGATTAATAAATCCCTCAAAACAGTATATAAGCTTTGGCATTTGTGAGAATGTGTATTTTGAAGTGAGTCATAGCTTTCATTTTTCTCTCCAGACCCCTCCCCATTATCTAAAGATTATCTATTTAACTAAGCCAGATAACAAAGTAGAGTGATAAGCTATTCCACTGTGGATAAGCTATTCCACCCTGCCTCTACTCAACACACAAACAGTCCACATAATTAAATAACTAAGATGTACTAACCTACCCTCCATAAAAATCTGCCTCCCATCTCCTAATTACTAAGGATATCTTAATTTGGCTAAGACTTATTTATATGCAAAGATCAAATACCCCATAGTTGCCTAAGTCAGGAATTTTTTTTTCCATTTTTTTATTTTTATAGATTTAGGGGGTACAACTGCAGTTTTATTACATGGATATATGAAGTCAGGAATTTCTAATCTGTTATGTATAAACTGGACTTCCTTTCTGAGGGTCACAGACCCCTTAGAGAATATGATAAGCACAACAGATCTTTGTCTAAACGAGTTCATACACATGGGCTTTTGTATACAATTTAAGAGGGTACCAGGGTGTAGAGCCATAGTGCTCATCAGCCTTTCAAAGGGATCTGTGATCTAAAAAGGTTAAGAACCACATACTCAAATGCTTTGGAAGTAATTGGTCATAACGTCTCACTAGAAGTGGGTGGCTTTTGACAGGAAATAAAGGTTTCACCCAAAGAGTAGAAGATGAGGCATTTCCTCCCAAATAAAAGCTCCCAATAAGACCAAGTGAAAAGGCAACTGGGAGATCCCAATATAGAAGCTCATCATAGACTGAAATTTAAAATCAGGCCTTCCTCATTAGGAATGGAAAGAGAAAAATAAAAATGACAATAATAATGAGGATACTGATCAATATTTATTGATTGCCTACTATGTGTCAGGCACTATTTAGTTCCAATAAAACAAAGGATAGGGAAAATAATAGCAAATTGCCATCAGAAAGTAGCCATAATGACTTCCATTTGCATAGCATTCTCAGTTAAGTGACTTGCCTAATTCTTGCAAGGGACAGAGCTGGAGCGTCAATCTGGATTTTTGTCCCCCCCACTTGCCTTTGATTTGCTCCTTCGGGCCAGCCTGAATTGGTGCTCAGTTTATAATTAGTTTTCTCAGTGATGCCCAAAACAAACCGGATGGCTGTCTCACCACATATGGAGATGCAACTAGGATATCAATCTAATTTTATGGATTTTAAAACAGACGGAGAATTGGGGACTATACTTACCACTGTCTTTGACTGCCTTTGCAGCCCTGAAACTGTGCTAGAAACTGCTCCCTGTGGGTTTGTCTGAGAATTATTAGCAGTACTAAGAGAAGAGGAACGTCCACATGGTCTTTCTGATAGCTGATCTGTGAAAAGAGGAAAAGGCATGTTAAAGGAACCACTCAGGTCAGAAAAACATCTACCACATAACATTATCTTTCTTGGGATACTATCAGAGGCATCCTGGCTGTAATTCTAACTGTTATCATCATGAACACGGCAAGTGTATTTCAATCCCCCTTCCCTTTTTGGTGGCCAACTTCCTGTTCTTAACCTTACTGGCCATTGTGCTCCAGTAGAATGAAAAACAGCGACAGAACCACATTTTCTCTTAACCATTTCCCTACAACTCTTCCCTCCCGAACCAGTTGCAACACTATGCCCTGTTATCCAAGGCAGAACTATATTGGGCACCAAACAGCTGTTTGTGGCTCTTATTACTTTGAAATATTTCAAATTTCTCTCTTTGTTTTTTGGCCCATAACTCAGTGGCTCATTTCTTACTCACACGTAACAATATGTGTGGCATATATAATGTAAAATCTTCCTGATGTGTGTGGGGCAGGGTGGAGAATGAGAGTGAAAGAGAAGGTGTGTTTGGGAAAGATGCAATCTTGATACTAGAATAATTTTTTTTAACGATCAGATTCAAGAGTCTTCTCTTCCTTGAAACCTTGTGAAATTCGACCAGGCCAGAGCTGAGCTGGATGTTTTCAGTTTGTTGAGAGTATACAAAAGAGAGAAGCTGGCTTCTTGACAAATTTAAATAAGGGTTCTTTTCCTCTCCATTTATTTTTAAAAGATATAAACTGCAAAAGTCTAAAGCCCAAACATTCCCTAGGCGACAAGCTCAGTATCCAAGTAATTTCCTTGATGCTGTGGGTTTTAACTTTCACCTCCTTGTATTTTATAAATATCTGTGGCAAGGGAAGAGACTGTAAAACTTGCTAGGAGAGTTTGGCAAAGGAACGTATAATTTGTGTGGCATAATGTTAGAATTACACGATCCTCCCTGACTAGAACTGGATAGTTGTCATGTGTGTTAAATATAGTTACTTGAATTAGCTGTACTTTCAGCTATATGCCATGCAATAGCTCAAAAGCATTTTTTTTTTCCAAATAGCAAAAGAACAACTTTGGAGAAGTATTTTTACATGTATTGCTATTATATACAGCTCTTAGAACTAAAACTATAGTTACTCGATAGCTTCCTAGATGCTCTAACCTATTTGGCACTTGATTATATTGTCTGTTCTTGTCCTCTAATTGTTTCACATGGGTAAGTTGAGTCTCCTTAAATAGACAGTAATTTTCTCAAAGGCAGGGACCATAGCTTTGACATTTTTTGTAGCACCTGGTGATGCTGGCTACACAGCCTCTTGACTCTCCAACAGTTTAAGCAGCAAGCCTCGTGCTTGGGCATAAGGGCTCGGTAGTCAGTTAGATGTGGGTCTGAATCCCAACTCAGCCACTAACTTTCTAGTTGGGCAACTGTTGGCCTGACTTTCCTTATCTGTAATATGGACCTAATAATAATAATACCTGCCCCCAGTGTTGTTTCAAGGATTGAATGAGATCACCTGTGGCTCTTCTGACAGCCTAGATCCAGGGCAAGAGCTCAAAGCATTTTAAGTATGATTATTACTATCCAGCCAGCTGTTGGTTAAATATTATACCAGGGAAGCAGTGAAGTTACATTCTACATGTATCATCATTTTCTTCACATTTACTAGCATTTATATTTAATACCTCTAGTGTGGTAGGTGTTAAACATTTAAATAAAATATATTATTTTCACTCCCTATGAACCCAAGATTTCATTTTTGGTGCAAGGCTACTGAAGGGTTCCTTTACATAGACAAAGGCATACAGAAAACAATGAGAAAAATATGTCTCTAGTGGGGAAAGGGAAGTGACGGCTGTATTTTGTAAACTCTATGAAAAAGGGAACTGGTCTTTCCTTTTTCTTTTCTATTTTTTTATACTCAGTTGGCTATTCAGAGCTTTGAATGGAATAACTTCTTGGCTCTTATCATTATATTAAGGGCATTAGAATAACATCTATCATAGGTATGTTTTAAATCCTAAGCTATGAAAAATTCAAGCATTTGACATTTGTTGGGGTGTATTTGGGGGAACAGGGGGAAAATTTGCATCAAGAGAACAATCCTGGCCAGAGTTGGCTCCTAGGGTAATCACAAACACATGGATTCAAAACTGTCACCCAGAACACATAAATCACAAGCCCAGCTTACCTTCTGTTGCTTTGTTGACAGCTAAGAGAGTACTCAGAACCTTGGAGAAATTGACCCCTGAATAAAGGTCATCAGGATCAAATACCTATGAGAAAGGAAAATTGAAACTGTAAGACACTACAAGTATTCAACTCAACAAACAAAACTATCAAAAGGCCACTTCCTCTAGCTCTCCAGAAAAAAAAAAAAAAAAAAAAAAAGTGCAAAAGCCAAGACACAAACCTCCGTATACCTTTGGGAGAAATGAGAGCAGCAGCTGAGCCGCCTAATGACATGTGGCAGGCCATCAGTGAGTCAGAGCAAAGCAGTAATGGGAAATGAGAGCCAAGCTGAGAAGGCAGCGCCCACCAGGAAATGAACAGCGCATACTCAGACCCACTCTTCTGACCTGAATGTATCAATAGTTTCAGCCCAGTTACAGGAAGCTCATATGCATGGGTTACAATTAATGTCCATCACCTACAGAATGTCCTGGACAGTCCACAAATAAGGAGGTGGAGCCTTTTTGACATGCTTGCATCTGTACAGTTTATTAGCGGTGCCTAGTTGAGTCATTGTCAGAAGTGCCTTTTTCTCTGCTCTCCTTCCTCCCCACTGCCAACCGCTGCATCCCAACTGCCTAGGATCCCAATGCCATGTTGCCCAAACTTTCTGCACAGGTCTGCCTTTCGCTCCCAGCTTCAGTTCCCAGTTTCTGCTGCTTGACCTTGCCCCTCTCAGCTCATCATGAATTCAAGTATTTGCCTGCCTGGGCCTATGGGTTCTTCCTGGCTTTAGATGACTTTTCCAAATATGACCTCTAGCCTGTGTGATACTACTCAACTCTTGGCAAAAAACACATTAAGTAAATACATTTCACTTTACCAGTCAACTGTCAATCTGATACGCTATTGTCCCCAGTGAAGATACCAATCAGATGTTGTTGTTTATAATGCAATTTAACTGTTACCTTTGAAATGTAGTCAGTGTGTTAAAATATATTGAATCCCAAATACGTATATTTGAAATTAGAAGTGTTCTCATGCACAGGTACAATCTATTAATGTACCAGCCAACAATGTAAATATGTATATCTGTAGGTAACCAGATGCCCACTTTCTGGATGGAAATGTCCCTTCTAAAAACATTATGTTCCCGGATGTCTAGGAGTCTCCTAAAGAAAACAGATTGCATCATTTTTTCCCCAAATGTGGTGATGGAAATAAAATGTACCTTTTCATATGGGACATGATTGGTAATGGGCATAGGATTTTGAAGGGTCTGTCTTCCCATTAGGTAGAGCCATTTGTTCCATTTTTAATCTGCATATTTTCTGGGAACCATATCAAGACAAATTTCTATCTTTTTTGTACATGTTTTTGAAAACCTATAATCTGTTTTTAGAATGAAAATATATAATATCAATTTTTTCACGTTTTGGGGGGTCAATAAAGATACATGCAAATGCGAACCTACACCAGTCTGGCTATTCTAGGATTCACCGCTTTATTCATTTAATCAATGAATATTTTGCATTCAAACTTAAAATGACCAAAAAGCCCAGTTGCATCTAAAAATGAGACATTAATATATTTCTGATAAAAGAGTAATACTAATATTACTAAAGAGTTAAACAACAACACAATCCAAATATATTTCTGAATGCTACAACATAAAATTCAAAGTTTTCCAGAAATACATTGACAAGAGTTCTGTTTTAGTTTGTCAAAGCCTGGGTGAACAAGAGGCAATAGACTAGAGAGAGTGTCTAGTATCTCAGGGGATTTCAGACTTATTGAATCTCCCTTAGAACTGATCAACTGGGAAAATGTTAATGACATGTATGCCAAAATAGTAGCAAAGCAAAAAAATTCACTTGTTTTTAGCCCACCGGTCCTAATGGGAGTGTGCATGTGTGTGTGCATGTGGATACATGTTTTGGGTGGGTGTGGTAGAGATGAGTAGATCTAAAATAATAAGCAAAAGTTAAATATTAGCAGAATAAGGCATGAGAGCAAAAGTTGTGATAAAAAAAACCTCTCCCTCTGGTTTTAGTTGTTCCTTATCCAGGGTTATTAAATGCCTATACATGGCAACACTGGTATTATTCATTTGTACTGGTACTTGACTGATTTTGAAAATAAATAAACTGATCAGAAAATGAAATGTGCATCAACAAGAGTCACTGCATCTGCCTGAGGGAAGCTTCCTGAACTGTACCCGGTTCTCTTTTGAGAAAACCCCAATATACTCAAGTTTATCCATGGATACTGTTCTTCTTGCTGCAAGTCTATTCTGAGGCACTAGAAACTACACAGGAAGGAGTTGCAAGAAGCCTCTGGGAACTGCTAGAGAAAGCAACGCCTAAGCATTATTATTTCAGAGTAACTGGAGAATCAGATACAACCACAAACACCCTCCACCACACTATACCCTTCTGAGTCCCACATTGAACGATATTGAAAATTCCACCCTAGATCTTTCTTCCATGCACTTCAGAGAGCTCCCCTATGAAAATGGAAATATTATCTGGAGGGATCACATTTTCAGCCACTATCAGTCATTTATGTCTTAGTGGAAATGAGAAGTGTGAGACCAAGTTTAGAGATGATGATGTGGAGAAAGACTAAGGGCTCTGGTCCCCAAATAAGGAGAAAGCAAAGGAGAATTCCCCAGTGTAGAGAGGGTGTGAGAAGAACAAGGAAAGGTAGATTACAGTACCCACTCATTTATACATTCAAAATAGAGAACCAATTCCCCTTTCTGCCTGCAAAGCACTGGAATCTGTTAAAAAGCTAAAGTAAATTTGCACATTTATGCTGTATGTAATTTTCGTAAGTCATTTTCAATGAAATTTTAAAGTCAAAGTCAAATCATGGCAAAGTCATGATGATACTCATCTTCTAGTACCCTGTGCAAGCCTCACTAGTCTGTTCAGTGTCTCTGGTTTGTGACTGAGTTCCAGATTAGCTGAACTTTCTTTATACCTATTTTGGTGCACAAAAAGCCAGTTAGTTCCAGTTGGATCCGTGAAGGCCAGATGAACAGCAGGATTCCCTCCCTCCATTCATCTTACCACTACTGTGACTCAGACAAAAAAAAAGTACTACTTCTTAGACTACTACTAGGTGGTGTCAAGGTATCATTCCTGCAGTCAGATGATGCAAGGTTCAAATCTAACAATAAAAACATTTACTCTAACCAATAGGACAGACAGGGATTAAAATTTATTAAAGATATTTTAAGTATTTACATATAGCCAATCGAAGTTGCATTCCTACATCAGCAGATGAAATCAAACATTTATTTATTTTTATTTTTTTTTTATGTGTGTGTGTGTGTGAGGCAGTCTTGCTCTATCCCCCAGGCTGGAGTGCAGTGGCGCGATCTCGACTCACTGCAACCTCTGCCTCCCAGGTTCAAGCAATTCTCCTGCCTCAGTCTCCCGAGTAGCTGGGATTACAGGGATCTGCCACCATGCCCAGCTAATTTTTGTTTGTTTTTGTTTGTATTTTTAGTAGAAACGGGGTTTCACCATGTTGACCAGGCTGGTCTCGAACTCCTGACCTCAAGTGATCCGCCCACCTTGGCCTCCTAAAGTGCTGGGATTACAGGCGTGAGCCACTGCACCCAGCCCAGACATACAATTTTTAAATGTTTCCTCACAGCTTTTTATTCTAGATATCCGCAATGACAGCAAAACCTATTTGCAAACCACTAAACACCAGGTGTTAATTGCGAATTATTGGGGATCTGCCAATGTAAACTGCAAGAAGTTAATATTTCTATAGCATTACAAATAGAACCTTTTGGAGTAGTTCTCAGTTTCAACATGTATGCTATTTTATGACACTTTCCCTAACCTTAGAAAAGCCAGAAAGCATACGAGAAGAAACTTTCCCAGCTCCCTGTTCCATTCCCTCACTTATCGTATAGCTACTGTTCACTGATTTACTGAGCTCCTGCTATGTTCCTGGCACCACGCTTGGACATCACATACATACTGCTATGGTCTGAATGTTTGTGCCCTTCCCAAATTCATATGTTGAAACCTAATCACCAGTATAATGGTATTTGGAAGTGGGGGCATTTAGAGGTGATCAGATCATGAAGGCATAGCTCTCATGAATGGGACTGTTGACTTTATCCAAGAGGCCCCAGAGAGCTACCTTGTCCCTTCCACCATGTAAGGAAATAGAGAGAAGGTACTATCTACGAATAGGGAAGCAGGCCCTCACCAGGATACCAAATATGCCTTGATCTTGGATTTCTGGACTCCAGAACTATGAGAAATATCCTTCTGTTGTTTATAAGCTACCTGGTTTATGGCATTTTGTTCTGGTGGTCTGAACAGACTAAGATACAAATATATTTTTTTATGTGCATTTGATTCTCCCAGCAAGCCCATGATGTCAGTACAATTATTTTCCCCATTCCATGGATGAGTAAACTAAGACTCAGAGTAGTTAAGTCACAGGGCAAGAAAATGATGGAGCCAATAAAGATACACAAGAAAGTGCTCTGAGGGGCATTGTAGTCCTCCATGCACGCCTTATGTTTCCATGAGACATAGAGAAAAAATGAAAAAGCAATCCATGAGTCTGTATACAAAAAGAAATCCTTTGCTTCTGTCAATACAAGTAGCATCTGTGTCATCTGCATCGAGTTTGTTACAGCCTCTAAAATGATTAATTCAACTAATCACAGCAAAGAGAAAATCTTCCATATTACAAGACTGTCTCTGCAGGGGCCTTGCTAATTCCTGTGCTGTCCTTCTCATTTCAAGGGTCAGCCTTCACCCAGGAGGCACTTGGCCACATTTGCCAAAAGAAGGGAAAAGCTGCACTAAGCTCCTCCTATTTGTTGAACCAGGTCTGCCTCATGAGCCATGGCCCATATTTGTGAGGTCCTGGTCTGGTAGGGGTCCAGCTCGTGATTACAGAACCAAGCTAAAACATCTGGGCCACGTGCAATGACACCTAGCCTCCTGATTTTCTTGACATCATGCTCTAACCACCTGAGTTAACCAGTCACAGCAGTCTAGCCATATCTTGGTTAAGAAAAGAAGGCATACCCTATCCTGGTTCAGAACTGGTCATCCTTAAC